TTCTTGCGGTGCCACTGGGCAGCCCAGAGGCCCACGCAGCACCCCAGTCTGCGGCATCTGGCCATGCTCAGTGCATCTCTGCATGGGGACTTGGGCGCTGTGACTCAGGCGAAGGGGGGCGCACAGGGGCCTGAGGGCCCCGGTGCTGCCCAAGGCCCAGAGTTCAGCTAGGACCTGCCCTTCCATGCCAAATGCTTGCGCTTCGATTGCAGGCCAGGCCTAGGGACTGCACCCATGCACAAATTTCTTGCACTGGGCCTCTGGTCTTCCATAAAGATTTGTGGCTATAACTGTTTCTTACTCCCTAGTGCTTGCCTGAGTTTGAGTCAAGACCTATGTTTACAGAGTGGACAAAATATTTACTATAGTAATTGAAAAAAATAAAGAAGGATTGAATAAAAGGAGAATTGAAGAATTTATAAAGAAGTAATGACAGCTGCCTATAAGACTGTATTCACAACATATGATCATGGAAGTTTCTATTTATGATGATCCCTAAAACCAATTGAGTATCTAGAATACATTTATTATGTAAACTAAGCATACAAATAAAGAGTATGAGCTTTGAAAATAATGAAGTGAGTCTTTAAAACACTAGAAAATGATAATATCAAGAAAGATAAAATTAAGTGATGAGTATCTTTGAACTTGAGATATTTTTGTCTTCTATCATCAATAGCATAATAGCTAGGGTACTTACTGATAGAAAGGAAGATTTGGGGAACAATTGGAAGGTTATTAAAAATGTGATAGCCTGACATATTATTTGGACCTCTGTAAAAATCGATAAGGTTAAAGTCCAGCTCTGCTATATCTCATGACTATGACAACAGCCCAAGAAGCAAATATGTACTACTATATCTCAAAGCTGTGATAACATCCTGGGAAACAAGTGCCTAACATAATTTTAAAAAATGAAATTTTGTGGAGTAGTTATCCTCCCAAAAGAACAGCAAGGGAGCTAGAAAAAACTCATTCCCACTTGTCCCAACTAGTCTTTATAGGTAAACTAAGGGAAGAATATAGAAAGTGGGCATAAATTTGATAAATACAATTGAATGCTAAAAACAAAACAAAAAATAATAGGGCATTTACTTACAAGGTGTTCCTCTGCTGGCTTCTTCCATAGTTACCCTGACATAGGGCTTATTAAAGTCTACTTCAATTTCATCAGAAAAAGGAGCTGGCTGCCGTAAGCCCTTAAGAAGAGGAAAGTGAAGGAGGAAAAAACAGTTAAATTCAATGGAACAAACCGAAATACTCAAAAAAATGGCAGCTTTAAAGAACAATTAGTTACTGAATATACTGTGACTAAAATTCCTCCTAAAATTTCATAACATAAAAAAGAAAAGAAAAAGGCATTCCAAAATGACAAGTGAAAGTTGCAACCTTTCACCTAATGGACAAATCACAGTGTCAAAGATAAATGTTTTGCTAATGATTTCAGGGTAAAGACTGAACAAGACTGCTGGGAACAGTCCCAACTAACTGGGCCCAGAATGACGGATCCTCTGCTGCATGGCAGAACAGCCAACCCGGATCTATGTGACTCAGTTGCCAAGGTTCATAAGCGCATTTTCAAATCACTCCACCTAGTAGACTGAGAAGGCAAACAGCTCCTGTGTGCTTTACGAAGCACAATTATCATTGTGTAATGCTGTGCACTGTAAATATGTCCTAATGCTCATGTGAAGCAAGTAGTATAACAGCTGGTATCTTCAAGAAAATGAGGTTCAGAGGTTATATGAATTGTAGGCAATTACAGAAAACCTCGATATAATGGACTAATTCAGGTCAGAAGGTGGCCAAAAGACTCTTACTAGTACGTGAGTAGGTTTTCTGAATGCATATGTTAAAAAATTGATAAATTAAATTACCTGTTTTTATTTATGTAGACACATTTGTGTAACTAAAATTAAATATGTATGAAAAGTTTAATTTCACAGGAAAGTGTTCTATACGTATTAAAATCATTCTAAATTTATTCTTAATAGTTTTAGTAAATTCACCAGTCACCAGAGGTAAACAAATGCACACAGCTGGGACGTGGATTAGTGCACATCAGAACATCAACCCACTGGTGTTAAAACTGCTCGAGAAAGAGCGTATGTTGGAGCAAAGACAGAGTCTTCAATAAATGGTGTTGGGAAAACTGGACAGGTACATGCAAAAAAAATGAAACTAGACCACCAACTTACGCTATATACAAGAATAAACTCAAAATGGATAAGAGACTTAATGTAAGACGTGAAACCATAAAAGTCCTAGGAGAAACCATAAGCACCAAAATCTCAGACATCGCTTGTAGCAACATGTTTACTGATACAACTCCTAGAACAATGGAAACCAAAGAGAAAATAAACAAACAGAACTACATTAAAATAAAAAGCTTCTGCACTGCAAAAGAAACCATCAACAGATTAACAAGAGAGCCCATTACATGGGAGGACATATTTGCCAATGATACATCTGATAAAGGGTTAATCTCCAAAATGTATAGTGAACTCACAACTTAATAAAAGGAAGATAAACAATCCAAGTAAAAAATGAGCAAAGGACCTAAATAGACACCTCTCCAAAGTGAACATACAGAAAGCCAAGAGACATAAAAAAAACTAGAGGCCCGATGCACAAAATTCGTGCAAAAGTAGGCCTTCACGGTCCCTGCTGCCTCGGCCCTGGCTGCCTCGTGGCCCTGGAGCCCCGGCCACCACCCACTGGCTGTTCCGAAAGGTCGTTTGGAAGGCTATTCCACCATCCAGTCTAATTAGCATATTAGCTCTTTATTATATAGGATGCTCAAAGTCACTAATCATCAGAGAGATGCAGATCAAAATGACAATAAGATATCACCTCACACCTGTCAGAATAGCCATCATTAACAAATCAACAAACAACAAGTGTTGGTGAGGTTGTGGAGAAAAGGGAACTCTAGTACACTGCTGGTGGGAATGCAGACTAGTGCGGCCACTGTGGAAAACAGTATGAAATTTCCTCAAAAAATTAAATGTGGAACTTCCATTTGACCCAGTGATCCCACTTTTAGAAATATATCCTAAGAAACCCAAAACACTCATCAGAAAGAATATATGCACCCCTATGTTCATAGCAGCGCAATTTACAATAGCTAAGATGTGGAAACAGCTTAAGTGCCCACCAGCAGATGAGTGAATAAAAAAACTTTGGTACATTTAAACAATGGAATACTATGCAGCAATAAAAAAGAAAGAACTCACATGATCTCACTCATCTGTGGAATCTAAGGAACCAAATAAACTGATGATCAAAAATAGACCCAGAGCCTCGTCGGTGTGACGCAGTGGTTGAGCTATGACCTATGAAGTGGCTCAGTGGTTGAGCATTGACCTTTGAACCAGGAGCTCAGGGTTCGATCCCCGGTCAGGGCACATGCCCAGGTTGCAGGCTCAATCCCTGGTGTGGGGTATGCAGGAGGCAGCTAATTGATGATTCTCTCTCATCATTGATGTTTCTATCTCTCCCTCTCCCTTCCTC